ATACATGTAAACATGGAATTTCCAAACTCACACGCACACACAAATGAACATTTATAGGTATTTATGTATTATTATTTACAAATATATGGGTTTATTTATTAGCAAATGTATGCATGTACATATGTATACAGTAGAATATAGACATGAATATGAGTATAAGTGTAGACATAATTAAATTGATGTATGTTGCATATATATGTATGTGTGTGTGTCATTGTTTGTTTGTCTCTGCGTGCACATTTCTTTTGTTTTATATTCCGAAAGAATGTGATGCAGTCACTATAGTCTCGGTATTTGTATTAAATAATATGGTTATTCCGGTGTAGGTGTTTCAAAATATCCTTCATTTTCATCCCATTCACAGTGTTAAGTATAAGGTTTTTCTCAAACAAAGATTAGTATAATCTTAGATAATTTAAATATTTGATACTTTGGTGGAGGGTGAATGGTATTTTTGTAAGGCAGTAAAATGACCAGTTGATCAGCAGTGAATATAAAGATTACTAATGCTATGATTTATTATTATTGTAAAGGTTAGGTAAAGGCCTGATATATGACTAATTATGATAGCTGTTAATATGTAGATGCTTGCCTGAGTAGTAGATCAAGTTGATATGTAGATCATCTTAAAATTATTCACTAAACTGCCCTTTCAATTGTAATCTAAAATTAGTGAATTGACATGATATTCTAATTGTAGTCTTCCATAGGAGGATTTTATCTTTGCTGTATTTCTCTTGCTTTATTCTTTCTACTTCTTAACTTACCTCATTTCTTGTCTCATTCACTCTTTCCTCTCCCTAAAAGACTCTTGATATCTGCACACAGAGAAGTTCATTCAGATTTTCCAGAAAATCTATGAAAACGATTCTTCGACTGCATATACTAGCTGACCTTATCCTGCTTTGACCCATTTTGTTTTGTTTGTTGTTGTTTTTGTTAAAGATTTGTTTGGATATATGTAATGTTTCTTTTGTTTGTTTGTTCATACTTTTCTTCTTAGACCAGATCAAATATTTTTTGTTGAAATAAAGGTTCCTTTATCTTTTGAAGTGTTAGTATGTTAGAAATATAAAGATAATTAGAGGTTACTGCTGTAAATTATTGAAAAAATCGGTAATTTGCAAAATTTACCCGTAAGACCATAATAGGTCTTGAAGGACAAAAACTGACTTTCTCAATTTGTAGGCGCACGAAGTGTTGATTATGGTGATGTCAGCCCACGGAGAAAGTTGCGAGAAGACCTGAAGTGCAAGAGCTTCGATGGTTCCTGGAAAACATTTACCCGAGTCTCAGATGCCTCTTGATTACTATTATTTGGGAGAGGTAGGTTTTATTTATGGTAATGACTTGATGTTTATTTATTCATTTTTTAAGATTATAAGTGAGAGAGTAAGTGACAGGAGTGAGTTAACATGCAAGTGAGTGAGTGAACAACTTTTTATGGTGTAACTATAAAAAAAATAGAATTGTATGTGAGAGAGTAAGTGAATAAGCAAGTAAACACACAAGTGAAGCGAGTGAGTGAGTGAGGCGAGTGAGTAAGGGAGAGAGTGGGTAAAGAGAGTAAGTGAGTGAGTTAGTGTGTGTGTGTATTTGAGTGTAAGTATAAGTGTGAGTGTGAGTGTGAGTGTGATGTGTGTGTGTGTGTGTGTGTGCGTGTGAAAGAGAGCAAGAAAAAAAAAGAGAGAGCAAAAAAAAAGAGAGAGCAGAAAAAAAGAGAGCAAGAAAAAAAGAGAGAGCAAGAAAAAAAGAGAGAGCAAGAAAAAAGAGAGAGCAAGAAAAAAAGAGAGAGCAAGAAAAAAAAGAGAGAGAAGAAAAAAAAAGAGAGAGAGAAAAAAAAGAGAGAAAGGGAGAAAAAAAGAGAGAAAGGGAGAAAAAAAGAGAAAGGGAGAAAAAAAGAGAGAAAGGGAGAAAAAAAGAGAGAAAGGGAGAAAAAAGAGAAAGGGAGAAAAAGAGAGAAAGGGAGAAAAAAAGAGGAAAGGGAGAAAAAAAGAGAGAAAGGGAGAAAAAAAGAGAGAAAGGGAGAAAAAAAGAGAGAAAGGGAGAAAAAAAGAGAGAAGGAGAGAAAAAAAGAGAGAAAGGGAGAAAAAGAGAGAAAGGGAGAAAAAAGAGAGAAAGGGAGAAAAAAAGAGAGAAAGGGAGAAAAAAAGAGAGAAAGGAGAAAAAAAGAGAGAAAGGGAGAAAAAAAGAGAGAAAGGGGAAAAAAGAGAGAAAGGAGAAAAAAGAGAGAAAGGGAGAAAAAAAGAGAGAAAGGAGAAAAAAAGAGAGAAAGGGAAGAAAAAAAGAGAGAAAGGGAGAAAAAAAGAGAGAAAGGGAGAAAAAAGAGAGAAAGGAGAAAAAAAAAGAGAAAGGGAGAAAAAAAAGAGAGAAGGGAGAAAAAAAGAGAAGGAGGAGAAAAAAAGAGAGAAAGGAGAAAAAAAAGAGAGAGAGAGAAAAAAGAGAGAGAGAGAAAAAAAGAGAGAGAGAGAAAAAAAGAGAGAGAGAGAGAGGAGAGAGAGAGAGAGAGAGAGAGAGAGAGAGAGATTTGGTTAGATTCATTACTGATTTTTTACTATTTCAGTATTTTTTTCTTTCTTTCTTTTTCTTTTGATAATCAGTCATTTCTTGTAAGAGAATCTTGACGTAAGTATGTTCTACTGGGCATGATATATCTTTTTGACCAGTAACCAATAAACTGTAAGATAAGATCGCTCTTTCTCTTAAAAGTATATTTTTATAACATGATATTGTTTTCTTAGATTCGCAATGTAGACACACAGAGCTGCTTGGACACTTTAGGTCGCAAGAGTGGGGAGAACCTTGGCACCAGCTACTGCCATGGTCTCGGAGGCAACCAGGTTGGCATAGACCCGATACATCTGAGGAGCAATTTGTTTTCCCCCCTCTCCATATCCTCTTTTTTTCTGAAACATCTCCTTTTACATTTTTTATTTACTAACATTCCAAATATCATTACTAATGTTTCACCTATGCTTGTTTATATTTCAGATGTACAGGGATATTTTCATAATTGTATGCTTTTCATTCGCTCTTCCGTTGTGCTGGTTCTGTTACTGGTGTGATGTTCATTGTGCATAAGTTCATTCTTTTGTTTAATTGATTTTATGAAAGAGAATGCAAGGTGTGGTCATTTTTATTTTGTGTACATATTCAATGAGAATTTGTCATTATGATACCATTAACATGCTGATTTACTCTTTCATGGAAATGCTTATGTTCGAACATACATTCATCACAGACTGTAATTCCTGCTGTGATTAATCTTGCATCATTGAACTTTGATTTCATCTGTCTTTTCTTTGCAGGTGAAAATTCTCAAAACTTTTAAACTTTTTTCCAACTAACAAATAATGTTTAAGGCAAACCTTTTAGTTAAAAAGTACAAGAATAAATTGCACTCACATTAACAGATAATGAATGTAAATGGGGAAACGTGCTTGGCTACATCTTCTGAGAAATTGCACATAGCTCATTGTGACTTCAATTCGGGATCCCAGGTCTGTTTGAAAAGTACAGTGTGTTTGTCTGCTGATGAGATTTGATTTGATTTTTTTTTATGCACAGGGAGAATGTATAATGGTTATGGATTGTGATTTTAACTGCCAGTGTGTCAAAATTTAACTGTCCTTTATATGATTTCTCTTAGATTGCTATGATAGTCTTGTTTTACACTGATGATCATGGCTATTAGAATTCTGATTTGATATCAGTGGGTATACTTATTAAGATGTAAATGATTATGAAAGAGATATAATCATATTGCATTTAAATCCTTTGATTGTCTCAGAAAATCACAGAAAGCACTCTATTACAATGAATTGCAGATTAAAGAGATTGTGCATTGTAGCTAAGTATATAACTTCATTATTTGTCATTTGTAAATGTTGGTGTTTAAATATATCTGTGCCACAAACTTTGAGAATTTTGCCAGTTTGTTTAAACAAACATGCACATGCATATGCATACACAGACATGCCCATGCACAAATACAGACACATATATAATTTTATTAATTAGTGGTAATTATCAAATCATATTTTTAAACTATTTTTAGTGCTTGAATAATTGATAACTGCAACAGTCATATTAAGTAGATGACACTTGCCCTTTGCTTATGCATGCTTCTTCTATTCTTTTCTTCCTCCTTTTTTTTTTTTACAGTGGGAATATGACAATCTCTACACCTACCTGCAGTTGATTTATCATTGTCTTAACCAAACTTGCTTTCATAGGGGATGGATGACTGTTTGAATCATGGGTTCAGTTGTTCTGGATGACTAGGCCACATATGTTGGACAATGGAGCACTCTGTATATTGATTATTTTAACCTCCTTTTGTTGAATATCAGTTACATGTTGTACAAATACAGATATTTTACTTGTTGAAGAAATCAAGTAAACGTCTAAGAAGTAACATTTCTGATTGATTCACAGAAATAAATAAGAGACTATTCATTGAACAAACATTACTCTTGAGTTCAGTTTTGATAACATTCAGTAATATATATTGTAATTCTATGTTTGAGGGATGCATAAAATTTCTTTAAGCTTTCCACACTTGGTTGAGCACTATGGAATTGTTTGATTATCATATAGAGGATTTTTTCACCCCACTTCATGCACTCTGTTACCTTGCCACTCAAGAGAATTTACATGTTTGAATAGGATGCACACTTGCTTTCTTTTGTCTTTTTTTTGTACATTCTATTAGTTTACATGATCTTTTCTTCCATTTTTAAGCTTTTTTTTTTGTTTTTTTTTCTTCCTTTTTTCTTTTATATCTTTCCGTATTTGGTTTCTATGTTTTTTTCTCACTTTCTTTTCCTAGTGAATATCTTATTTCTTTCCCACGTCTTTCCGTATTTGGTTTCTATGTGTTTTTCTCACTTTCTTTTCCTAGTGAATATCTTGTTTCTTTCCCACGTCTTTCCTTCATTTCTTCTGCATTCACTGTCCTTTTTACTGGTAACAGAACCAGGTTAAGAAGTCACAATTATAGATGGGATTGTTGTAGAAATGAAGATCTGAAGATTGGTCTGTGTGTGATGTTCTATATTCAAGATGCCCTGTACATCTACTTGCCTTCATCACTTTCCTTTGATGTAAAACAACTTGCAATATATGAAAATAAGGTGAATTAGTATCTGAAATATATTGATATATAATTTTCCAACAAGTTTTGGAAATATGTAACATATTCCCCCTTACAATAGGTATTTGCGTACACAAAACGGCAGCAGGTTATGTCAGATGATAACTGCTTAGATGCTTCCAATCCAAGTGGGCCTGTTAAGCTTGTCCGGTGCCATGGTATGGGTGGAAACCAGATGTGGACCTATAATGATCAGGTAATATCTAAATCAGTCATCTGTGAAAGATATTTTTTGTCCTGTTAAAGTTTATTTAAAGAGATAGGGGTACTAGTTTCATGATGTTATTATTTTTGAGTGAAGGATAATACTCATTTTCTTTTAGAAAGTATATTCTTTCTTGTTAGGTGAGTAGTCTTGATGTTGAGTATTTCATTTAATAGTACATTTAATATTTCTCATAAAGAATAATCAGCTAAATGTTGGTGTATCTGTATACTGTAGAATCATTAGAAAACTGGGTAAACTGAAACTGAAATGTTAATTTACATGTCTCAATTTTTCACAGGATGGATCACTCCGACATGTTAATTCTGGGAGATGTCTACAAAAGCCTGATGCCCGTGATGTCACTTTACCTGTCTTGAGGCCATGTGATGGATCAGCAGGTCAACAATGGGTTATGAAAGGCTCCTTCAAGTGGCAGGCTAACTGAGTGTATGTCATGACTGTTATTTCAGATGGTTACTGAATTTCCCAGTAATTCATCTATATTGTACATTAGCGGACTGAGTAGTAGCTGACTGTGAAATGCCTACACATTTTCAATTTACAGGGTAAAATTTGTGAACTGTATTTTGAAATGTTGTATGTGCTTTGTATCCTTTGGGTATACAATCATTAAAAAAAAAGATATGTAAAACTATGACGTACTATGAACTTGTGTATTTAAAATGTGTATCTTTATGGAGATTCATGGTATATCAGTAGATAATGCTTTAAATTATATGATGTGAAATATAGGTAAATTTCTACTGGTTGTGAATAATGGACCAGCTACTTAAAGAGCTCAAGGTCTGTTTTTCCAAGATCTTGGACTATGGACAGATATACCATCCATAATGAAGCTAACATTGTTTCATCTTTTGTACTTAATACACTTTTGATTAATGAAAGAGACTTACACATAGTGATGGTTATACTATCTAATTCTCTGGGCATGGCAGAAAGATTTACTTCTTAAGAAATTAATGTATAAAACTAAAAATTGTATTTGTTCTTTCTGGATTAGCAAATGATAAAATATAATACCACGGAGTGGGGTTATATGTAAAGTTTGAGAAAATTAATTTTTTCAAGTATGAAGTTTTGTTAAGATTTGATTGCAAAAGGAACGGATAAAAGCAGTCTTATATTCCTGCCAAAATATAGAAAGATTATAATACATAGGTTCAAAGAAGAAAACTATTTTGTGAGCTAGAAATTAATATTACATAAATATGATGATCAATATGGCAATTAGTGTAAACATACATTGCATGTTGTACCAATATTGAAAATATCTACAGATACAGTGAAGTATGTATATATAATGTAAATATGATATTATCCTGTAACTTCCATAGTTATATCTTCCTGTATTTTCTGTCCAGGTAAGAATGTGTAACTAGTGCCTTCTAAGAAAGCCAGAGAAGGTTTTGTGTTGTAATGGAAAACCTGGCATATAAAATAGGACTATACCATAGGAGTTGGTGTTGATGGCCATTCATATTAGTAGGAAAAGGTGCTGAGTATTTTTTTTAAACCACAAAAATCCAATAAAATTCATTTGGCAGTAGGTCACACCAGTTGTGATTTATGGGACTAAAATTGTATAGTAAAATGGATTGTCAACTTCCCAAGATTTATAACACTAGACTTTTCACTTTAAAATTAAAAGACTTGTGATTTATCTTTAATAGATCTCCTTTCATTAGCATTCAAATTACAGTGATGTGTAATATATATTCATGAACTTAGAGATATTTTTGACAGTTTGATTTAATGTGACGTATAGATTTCATTTTATTATTTTTAATACAAAGCAAGAGTTTATGATCAAATAAGGCTTTGTATATGATCAGTAGAGAATAAGAACAAAAAATATATAAAGATCTTCCATAAATTAGGTGTAACTGAAAATATAAGAACTACTTGAGTTTATAAAGTGCGCTCAGTGAATTCTAAACCTCTTTGAAGCCAAATTTGTGAACAATATTTCCAACAAAATGTAATTACTGTTTAAGAGGTTAAATTGTATGATTAGTATGCTCAATGAACTTGAATCTTTATGTTAAGCAGATTTTTTTGTGCTATCATGAAGAAACTGTGATAATTGCACAAAATTTATCACTGCATAAGATTGGTACTGTCAATTAGGGTAATTATTTAAAAATTGCATACAGAGAAGCTCATATTATGGTATTTAATGTATCAAAATTGGGATATGGTAAATATAATCAATGAAAACGGCTATACAACTCCATTGTTTTGCAAGAACATCAGACCTTTAAAGTGAAGTGATCTATACTTAATTGCCACTAATGAGCCATTTAGAAATTTGTGCAGAATAAATTAAGGAGTAAAAATATATTACATTACCACGATGTGAATTCTCAGTATGTTGAAGAGTTTTCTCGTGTCATAAGAAATTTGTTTATTTCTCAGGTTACTATTTTGAATGATAAGTAGACTTAGTCAGGTTAACGATGCTGAAACAAACAAGACAACATATTAAGAAAGTACTTGTGTAACTGACTTTTTTATTACAGAACCTAAACAATGAAGGATAATATTGCTATTTTAACCCATGGAAAGAAAAGTATAGGATTGTGAAATTGAATTGATAAATGTATTTGTGAAATGAGGAAAAAAGGTGAAAAAATGTTGAAAGTTAACCCAAACTTCATTGATTGTCAACTATGAATACATGATTATTTATTATTGTTATCATTCTTGTCTTGTTGAAAAGTCATGATGGTGTGACAATGGTTGTGATTTTTTTGTGTGCATTTTTTTCTTCATTTGCGGTGGTGGGACTAGTCTTCTTTTTTTCTCTTTTCTGTTGTGAAGTAATTAGATAATATTTTTCATGGGTATGGAAAGGTCTTGAAAGAGAATCTGTAGAGAGGGATCTGAATGTTCTGACTTGTAATACTTTTCATGAAATCGATTCACTAGGTCCATCATCATCTAGACAAGTGTTTTTTAGTCATGATTCATCCATCAATATCATAAGAAAAAAATCTTGACCATATTGGGTTAGCCTGAATTATTCCTTGTGCCAAGATTCTCAGTAAAAAAAAAAAAAAAATTTAAACGAATTGTAGTAACTTTGGATAAAAGTAAAGGTATGCATATGTCATTAGTGATTCATAAAGTTATACAATTGCCATTGGAGAATTAGTTAATAATTAGATTAGTTCCTTAGTACTAAAAAAGCTCCTTTTAGCCCAATGATTCTTGAACGGACAAGTAGAAATGACATGCAGAACTTCAAGGTAATATATTTCTATATATGGTCATGATTTTTTTGTTGTTGTTATGCTACCACTAAACATTATATCACAGCTTACTTTTTAACAAGCAGATTCCCCCCATTAACAGTGAACTGGAATATGTGAGGTACAACTTTTAGTGGGTTTCCCTTAAAAATACCATCAATTCAGAGAAAAGATATGTGCTCTGTTATTTTTCCACATTCCAATAATATCCACTTTCATGCTTGTTTAATAGGAAAGAAAATTCCTTTGTGTGAGATGCATTTGTTTTGTGTTGTATATTAAGTTTGCTGAATTTGCTGAATGAATGTGTTATAATCCACAATGTAACCCTTCCATATAATATTTTATAACCTTATTGGTTGTAAAACTTTATAAAATAAGAAAATATGTGCCAATGAGGAATTCAATATTGAAACTTCATAAGTAAATAAGTATGCCAAGGAGTGTCATGTAGTATGAGTGACCAGCTAATTATATTTGTGATAGATAAAATCTGCAAGAACTGGACTTATTAGGAAATGAGCATGAAAGTGGTGTTGTCTCTTTCCCATTGGTATTCTCTCTATGTAGTGGATCATTCCATAATGCACCAATGCATTATTTTCTTTCTTTATCCAAGATATACATCATACTTGATTCTGTCATGTGATTTTGATTGTTTTGATATTGTACAGTCTTCATCATTCCAGTAGGAGTGGTCTTTTCGTGAAAGCTTGTTTTCAACCTTGGAAGTTTTTGACTAGATGGAAACAGAAAATTCATCGTATACAAGAGAAATCTTGAATGAACTTCAGGCTTACAGGCAATGTGAGAAGTGTGTAGTTTTGATTACAAAATGTGATTTATATATAAACAGTATGCACTTCACAAAGCTTGACTAAAATAGAGACAAAGGCAGATAGTTCCATTTAGTGTTTACAAAACAGGATGCTGGATTTCCTGGTGATCATGTTTTATCAAGATTAGGTTGCATTTGCAGTGCACAATTAGGGTTTTCTTTCCCCTTGGCAATTTTGTATTTTGTGTGTGATTCTGGAAGATATATTTTGTATATATATATATATTTAATATGTGTGATTAGTGCAAAATTTGAAAACTCATGGCAGAAAGTGATATTCCACTAACTCTAGCAGGTGTACGAGAAGTGAATGGTCTAAAAAAAGAAAAGGAGAAAAAAAATCCTGTAAGTCCTCTTCCATCTTTGTGTGGCAGAGTGTCTGAATGAATGACCCATTATTTAAATCTGATGCTCATTCATATTGTTGTTTGCCTAATGAAGTGGGTTGTGATTCTCTATATAAATTTTTCTTGCTGTGATATTCCTCCTTTATAATGGAACCTACAGTTTTGATTAATTTATATAGAGAAGCAATGACCATGTTTCAGTACATTGTAAGATCTGTGATCATATTCTTACATGCATTGGGATGGTTGTTTAATTTAAACAGTTTGATTTTGAAGCAATATTAAATTTTCATTTGTTTTTATGAAATTTGAAAGCTATGCTCTACTTTATATTTATAAAGATACATGGCCTATTTGTTAGTTTTTGGTTTTGAAACCAATGATAACTGAAGATTCGATAATATTTTTACTGCAGATAAGGTAAACACCAAAATTATAGAGCTAGTTTAAAGTCATCCCTTAAACATTAGCAATGTGATCATCATTCCATATTGCAGCCATACACAATTTACATGGCAGTGGATTATGGTTACATTTGTCTGCTGAAATTAGTGGCCATATTCCTTTGTGATGGCATTTTAGCCATATTGCTTTTTGAAATCCAGTCTGGAAATGAACCTTGTAGAATTACATTTACATAGGTGGCACCAACATCATTTTACTGAGAAGTTAAATTCTTGTGCACACTTTTCCTTTTTTTTTTTTGAAGAATGTTAAGTTTGCCTTTTTAAATTTTATATTTAGTGACTGAGTTACTATAAGTGCTATGTTAAAAATTCCTAAATATGGTGCTTATTAAAGCCAAACATTAAAGGTCTTTGAAGTGTAAAGTGACAAGATGAATGTTCAGGCATTATGACATGCACTTTATGTATAGGTGCTTGCATTCTACTTTATTATGTTGGTCATTTTTTTTTTTTTTTCTATTTGTAAACATAACTTAGGCAGATGAAAAGCGTGACAAGTGACTTGCTAATAATAATAATTGTTGCTTGTAAGAAAAAAAATATAATTTATTTTTATATGTATCATGTGTAAACCTTCAATTTTTATTATAAATCTTATAACAAGATCATGTTTTCATTAATTAATTTGAGTGTAATAAAAAAAATCAGTGGACAAGGATTCTGACCTATGGTGAAATACCCAGATGACTGTATAATTAATTTTATGTAATCAAAGACTGTGCTGATTTATTGAAATGTTGGGAAGATTTGTGAATAACTGTGTGTATGTATGGTGATGGGAACCTTACAAAGTTTTTAATAAAATATTTACATTAACATTTATTTTTATTGCCTTACCTGCAATTGATTTCTCACTTGTGATGGAATTGAAACAAAGAAAACACTTTTTTGGCACGTATTGCTCTGGAGCTATTTTGATTCTAACTAGCTAATATTTATATTTAGTGACACTATTAAAAGTAAACCCCCCAGTCCTCATCTTAACTAATTTTGCATGTTTTTTTCTTCTCCTCCTTTCCTTTTCCTTCTCTTCCTCCCCCTTTTCTGTCTACTTCCTAAGGTGTGAGAACTGTACTGAAAGGATAAAAGGCTGGCTTTAAGTCAGTCCTGAATGCCCTCTGGATCCATGGGCACAGCATTCCACAGTTAATTGGCTAGCCCTTATCTCTTATGGGGACCCTAAGGTGTAGACTTTCTTTTCCCCCCACTTATTTCAGGCTTACCATGGCCAATAATAAAGATTTTTTTTTACATATTAAATCCTATCTAAATTTGCGTTCACAATTTTCCTGACTCCTGCCTCTCCATTGACCATGGCTCTGACCACTGATAATATTTCTCCCTCCTCTTTTTACTGACAACTCTTATCTATTCTGAACCACCCATCCAGGTCATTACTCAAAACTTAAGAATGCAACCCATCCTCTCTCCCAACATTCTCCACTTCATCACCTAGTACACTGTCTTCATTATCTACCTCCTCACCTACTAACTACTACTCTTCATCCTTATTGTCCTCCCCACAGTAATCACTCACTCCACACCACCCCCTCTCCCTTCTACTGCTTCCACCTCTACAAACCTTTTGAGTACTCTCTCTGGCCCAGCCAAGTGGGATCAATTCTTTGTGGTTCCCCTTATAGCCCCTTACTCTGACAATACCCTTCTCTTCCAATAATGTCTCCAAAAAAAAGTAGGCAAAGTTTCCTTTCGCATTTGTTCTGATCATTCACACCTTGTTATAGTTACCTCCAAGTCTCATCCTTGAGTACTATTTACCCTGACTGACCTCACAGGCAAACCTATTCCTGCTGAATCTCTCTACGCCTTTCTCACTTTACCTGCAACACCAGAGGACCTAAAAGTTCCACTCCATCTCCTCTTACCACATCCTCTTCTGCACCCTCCTCTTCCTCTGTTCCTCGAACATCTATCCCATCTTCTCTTCACAAAAGAACCTTTGTTTACCAGACCTCCCCACCCAACTCTCCTCAAGAAATTCTTGAAAACATCCAAAATTTTATAAACAGGACTCAAGAGAATGTGCTGCTACCTCATTCACCCTCCAATCCCTCTTCCTATTCCCTCTAAATTCAATGGCATTTGCTGATATCCATCCATCCTCCTCAAGTGCCCCCTACCCCTCTTCCTCCCACTCTCTCGACACACCCCATCCTCTCCTTCTCCATGTGCACTATTCCCTCTTAGTTCCC